TTGCACCCATGAACAGTTGAACACATAGACATTTGCACCAGTCGGCATTTGAACCCATGAACATTTGCATCTACAGACAATTGCACCCGTGGGCATTTTCACCAGTTGACATTTGCATCCACGAACATTTGCACTCATGGATATTTCGATCCGCGAATATTTGCACTCACAGACATTTTTACCCACAGACAATTGAAGCTACATATATTTGCACCGATGGACATTTGTGCTGAGTATACGAGTTCAATTTTTCCATGCATGTACAGCCAAGCAATACCTAATAAATAAAACTTTTTAAAAGCTGTTAGGTTACAATAATCTATGTTGTTAATGAAAAGATGATGTCAATAACAAGTAGAAAGATTAGTACCCAGTATTGGGGAGACTTAAGTTTTGAAAACTCTACACAAAATGCTGATATCAACAAAGATCGGAACCTTGAAAATACTCTCTATCGATTTTTCGAATGAAGAAGTTTCCGGCTATAGTATCATTCACAACGACGCTTATTGATGTTACAGTGATAAAATGGAAATTGTCATAGGACGCCGTGTTATAATATGTAATACCAATACAATATTGTAATAACATACAGTGCAAATAAACCGACCATAATATATTGTTGAAATTAAACTTAATTAAACCCATTTTTGTACGACAGGGAGATTCAATCATTTATTGTCTGCGTGAGCTCCATTTACGTACTTTGCTGTAGCTTGAAAAATCTGCCTTGATTCTCATCATATAGTTGAATCGGAAATGCACTGACCTGAGTTGACGCATGGACTCGAGTTCAACTGAATAGCTTGTGTCCATATAGTATTAAAAAAATTTAAAATTGAAAAGGAAATTTATCGATATCTTGTATTGTTTCGGCCCTCAACAGATGTACTAAATGAAGTAAAATACGTAAACAATTACTGATTAAAAAACAACAAACCTGGTTTAAGCGATATTGAAAACTGACGTCATAACAAAATTGAAATTATAGAGGGACTTTATGGAAACTTTATGCATGTGAAATACAGAAATAGAGATCATTTATTTTTCAAATTTATCGGATCCAACAAAAGTTGATATGAACCTTAAAATGTCAGTAAAATAGTTGAATGTTTTTAAAAGCAACTGGTCGGATCAAACGGTGTCAGGTTTCTGATTCTGTTATGACCAAAGTGAGGAAATGCGTAATAATTAGGTTCTGCGTAATCTCATATAGAAATCAGTGGCAGGTTATTTGTTGCATGTTTGGAGAGTCACATTCTGAATGTGGAGCTCATATGGATCTGTAGATAGTAGCTTTTTATTGTATTAGTGGAAGAAGATTGACCCGAATTTGTGTTTCTGTTTGAAATAAATAACGAAATTAATAATTATAGATTATTTATATTTTATACCATAAGCTTTTGTTCATGATGATATACTTAGATTTACTGCTTAGATCAAATGTTGGGCTTTGAATGAAAACCCTTTAGCTCAGGATGGGCACAACCCTGGACTTTGCTTTGCTATAACAGAACGAACTTTTAATTTATGCTAATGTTGACCGAAAACGGATGGCGATTCACGTTGTACTTATTAACGACGTTATACTGCAATATTTTCCGACTTTCGAACATAACTTCGAATTCAGACACAATGAAATAAAGTGATTGTGGCGAATGTCTGTATAATTAGCGTTAATTCCTATTCTACTTATCATGGTGTTGAGCTAATCTTTCCAAGCCTGATTTCGGAAAGACAAAAACGTTAGACTTGGCAATTTAGCTCAAATGTCATGTATTTGTTCGTGAGACCGTTCTATTCCTATACGTCTGTATAAAATATAAGATTTTAGATATAGTGAATGAATGAGCAAACTTAATGACAAAATATTGGTGACTGAATTGCTTCTGTTGTGATCCTGTTTCAATTTCGCTATTAAAAAGATTTACCAGCGCTCGTTACGATATTACGTGAAAAAATACTGATTAGGAAAATTGTTTCTTGAGTTGCTTGGTGAGGAGGTTCTCAACGCGAGAATCGTATAAATAAACCTTTTCCCGTGTCATTCAGGTTCGTTAGTTTGTTTAAAAGGTAATAAGAGTTGATCAGGTTCAACAAAAGGTGACAAAAAATCATCAAACTGCGCACAATTCAAAACAATATTGCAGTCATTGGCTCAATATAGCATGACGTTAATCGAAACTCGGACCTGTTCATGCCGGTTGTTGTGTCGCAATATTCATATCTAAAATTTTCTGAGACAAGAACAAGAACATAGTGATATTAGGTCAGACGTGAGTGTAGCTTTGTGGTATTGGGGAAAAACTTCAAACTTGAGGAGTCAACAATTAAATTTCCATCCGGTTCGAAAATAATAATTCAATGTATTGTGGACACGAAATGCACAATGAATATTTTTGCTCAATTTTTTTGCTGTGAAATTTCCATTTTTCAAACTAACAGAACAAATTTTTAGAACTTAGAAATGGTTGAAGTAGTTGTAAGATTTTTACAGGTATTTTTTCCTGGGTCCTACGAAACCCTTTTTTTCATCCAAAATTTTGCTGTTTTTTTCAATTAATGAAAACGTTTCATATGATATATAGGAACACTTTTTTATGACATTTGATGTTTCTCGACATATAATTGAGATTTGCCCTTTTGCAGTACTTTCGGTAGTCAATGTTATTCAGACTTATTACGTCAACACCAATTGCACCAGCACGAAGCCCACAATTGTAAGATTTTTGAAAAGCAGTGATGTTTTAATATTTTATTTACCGTCAATACTCAATTAGGAGGATAAAATAATTGTTAAATGAAAACAGAAAACCGGACGTGAAAACGTGTTATCTGCGCTTACTGAAGACATATCTTGCTATACTAAATTACAACCCTCACTCCAATAAAAACAATAAATGCATCGTGGATATAATAATAAAAATAATACGCTTATCCTCTTATAGACGTCAGTCGCAATAAACGGTAAATTACTCATCATGGAGTCGGCGGAAGAACTATGACTCAGAAATTCCTGAGTTTTTCTAAGTGTTCTTAGTAAGTCAGTGCGCTTACGAGACGCCGCAGTATTATACGCTGTATATCATTCGGTTGGTGAAATATAGAATAGGGTTTCTTATATTAATCCTGAAGATAGAAATGCAAAAAGTGAGCATTGATAGCTATAACACTTGAAGCCTATATACGGAGTAGTCTTTTGCACAAAATCATTTTACGACGCAAACAAATGTGCACCATAGAGTGAGTGATAGGCAGACGGGGTTCGATGATCTACACTGAGTTAGAAGGAATATAAGAAGGTTTATGGCGAAGTATGGAGTGAGTCACGTAACTGACAGTCCGCGTAAAACAATTTGTGTAAAAGATACAATCATGTATCAAAAACGTAATATTATAATTAGTTAAATTAAAACCTGCTGCAGAACAGGATTAAGATCTATTGTGAGAGAATGGTACTAACTACCTTGTGTAAGCAATTATTTACAGTCAGTCCTCTACAGTCAGAGAATCAATTATACCCGCATTCTTGTTTACCACTGAGTAAACATAATTTCCACTTATTTATGACATCATGACATGTTTCCAAAATTTCACTGCATTCGAACGAGATAGTTTTGCTAAACAGATTTAACATTTAGTTTGATTTCTTAGATTAAGATACTATAGAATGGATAGCAGATACAATAACACAATATTTTGAGTTTTTTACCAAAGACTGAAAAGTTTATACTTTTAACCACCATGGCGTTTCCGTATTCATAAATACGTGGTAGAAGACCTGTAAATACTCTGGAAATACTTTATATAGCATTTTCTTTAAATGTCAGAAAATATTCCTATGTTCAAAAATACCTGATATTTGTCAGACTTTGACAAAATTCTTGATTGTAAAGTGGGGGAGAATGGTCTTATCTAACGGTTGAGAAAATAATATGAGTGTGTTGTCGTGACATAGTTTCTCTGAATTTCACGGTATTCATTTTTTTCTAAACAAACTAAAAACACTATAATTGGTAAGAAATTATATAGCAGCCAGCATGAAGTTTTTAATATTTTTTTACTGTTTGTCTTCACGGTCGATACTATAGTTTTAAGTTTCAAACATAGTTTTGGGCCCAAATCCGAATATATCACTGAACTCGAATATTGGAACACTATTCTTTTGAATTCAACAATTTAAACTCTTAATCAGACCTGAACCATCCCTGTCATAATCATCATCTGACGTATACTCGTACATAATCGTTCCAAAATTTAGAATAATTTTTGAATTTTTTTATTTCCGATTTCTAACCTGTTCATAGTTGAGCCTTGTATCCCAGTTTTCTATCTGATTATTAGCGAGAAGACGTAAGCGTCCATGATTTATAAACTTGAATAATACTATTCTATACTCAAGAAACATAAAGACACGAATCTTCAAACGTCATATCATTTTTTGAACGAGTGTCTTCTCCAAAAAGGCATTGGCTGAACAAACAATGTTAATCGAATGCGTCGACAAAGCAAAATATTTTTCAACAAAATTTCAAAGGCTTTTTTTTTAAAAAACAAGTGAAAAGAAGCTAAATTACATGATATTAAAAAAAATTTGGAACTTGGTTACAACAGCAATTGCCAACAATATGATTAATTTAAAGTAATTCGAAATAATATAAAAACTATCACAACCAATTTGTTAGGTGCTGCATTGAACAAATGAGAGTTTTGAACTTTCGACTGCCAGTACTTAATTTATCCAGGAAACAATACTAACGCGCATATTGTTTGCTTGACCATCATATTTGAAATTTAATGTTTGTAGTAGCAAAATAAAAATTTGATAATACAGATATAAAGCCTTAGGCAGATGGTTGAAATAAAAATATACATTTGTATTCATGATATTCTGTCGGCTAGTAAAATGTAAAAGTCAAAGCAGGAATTAGGCTTGATTAGAGACTTGGTGTAGTCTTATTTTAAATTGTATCGATTCAAATTTTTTTCTCAGTTGAAATATAGGTACAAGATATATTTACATGATGGATTATAATTAACAGATCTATTACTGACCGAACAAACAAATACAATGGACTTGAAATTATCTGGACATATTTTATTAAGCCTGTTTCATTTACTTTCACAAAGTAAACACTTGTTTGTCAATGCTCAAGGTAGGTTAGACGTCATTTTCCAATAAAACCAACAAAGTATTCGAACACGTCACTCTGACGCACCGAGCCTGTAAAAAAAACAGTCGGTGAACCTTAAAATATTTATAATATTAATTGATCACTGTGTTTATAACAAGAGATCGAGACATGCAAAAGGAGGAGGGGAATTGATTAGATGAAAATCTGTCGCTTATTTAGTACGACTGACCGGAAACCGTATACTATCACGATTTTATAAGTCTCGAGCATTTTTTCATATGACTGGTTATCAATGGTTCTTGTTGTTCTATACTGGTCCTATGCGCGAAATAGGTTTTATCATATTCATTAAAAAACATGATTGTACATTAAGGTTCACTGCGATGTTATAATCTCGCAATTATTTTTTTTTTTTTGTCAAAAAATTAAATTTGCTCAAAAGAACATTCTTATGGTTAAGTTTATTGGAATCAAAGAGCTTTTTAGCATTCTTTCAGGGCAGTGGGTGATGGTACCGATCCCAGCATAAGAGCTCACGGTTAATAGCTTAAATCGGTATCATGATTGGTATTCGTTGCATAATTTAAAATATATATTCGTAACATGAATTAAATTTTCATAAACTTCTTGGGAAGGATACGCTCAAATAAAAAACGACAAGACAATTCCATGGTCGGTTGAAAAGAGCCCTGTACGGAGTAAATTATGGGATTAGCAAGAAGAAAATTTCGTATTTTCCCTATTTACTTATTTAATTTGTTACAGAACCTGCAAAAACTAAAAAGACCGACGATGGATACTTACTCGAAAGATTCGATACTGAAGTTTATTCCATGACTTCAGCAGAGCAGAAATGTCATGCACGTAGCGCATGGCTGGTGCGGATAAAAGATAAGAATATGCAAGACGAAGTTGAAGTTCTTCTCGAGTAATTTATTTTTACATATTACTCAGCTATAAATTTTTGTTCAATTTCAAAAAACCTATTATATTTTATCGGATCGAATTTAGCCACATGGTTAAAGATTTTTACGTTCTGTTTCTATATAGACCAAATCCGGTCATCCGGTCTTTTTTTGATTCGCATGCTCCCGAGTTTGTCCATACCTACACCGTTCTATAAAATAGTTAGTGACATTCACTGATGGGCCCGAAGGTATTTGTTAGTTTTATTAACATATGAATAACAACTATTTACTGGCGTCTTTAACAATCTTGACGCAGGTGCGCTGCAAAAGAAAAAGATGGTATGAATGCCTAGACAAAATCCTGTAATCGGGTTCTTCTAGATTCGCATTGACCCGAATTCGTCCATCCCTTAGCCGTACATTAAAAGACTTAGTGACATTCAATTGATAGACCCGAATTTAGTCACATTGAGACAGATTTTTAAATATTTTTTCAATCAAACTTTCAATTTGTGCTTGCCCCGAAAAGCATTTGCGAGTGTTTATAATCATATGAATACCACTTATCTAATCGGCGCGTTTATCGTCTTAACGCAAGTGTGCAGCGAACGAAAAAACTAGTATTGAAGGGCGCATAGACGAACTCCTGTTATCATATTATATCATAAATATATGTCATTTATTACAGTGGCGCAAAAGCACCAAATTCAAACGGAGATTACTTCATTGGACTCACGAAATATCTGGGACGTTGGGTATGGTCCGATAAAGTTCGTGCTACATATATGAATTGGTAAGTTGCTGAATGATGAAAACGTCAATGTTGCATTCCCATTTTTAAACGAACCAAACTGAAATTAGAATCAAACTATATATTGAAACCAGTGTGAAAAGTTTATAAATCTGTGAAACATTTCTTCTATTTCATCAATGACTTGGATAAAACTAAAAATTGACTACGAAAATATAGAATCTGACGCAGTCTTCGTTTAATTATTTTCACAGGGGATGGAATGAAGGTAACGATGGCAGTACGTGTGTAGCTATCAGACACTCTGACAAAAAATGGACAGATGTTACATGTACCGCGTACAGGCGTTACATCTGCCAGTCAGGTGCGCAAAGTCTAATGGCATAATCATTTTTTTCTCAGGTGAAAATATGAAAAGAAAAATGTCAGACTATGTCACATGAGGTATATGTATGGCTTGCTTCTCCGTAACGGGACGTTATTTGTCCAAATTCGATTCGATTAATTGAAATCTGTAATACCGCAACGTTTACTATAAAGTTAGGAATATACCAGGTTAAGCATATATTTTTTGATTAAACAGAGTAGGCATTCTCAATAGATGTTAATGAAACGCTCTGAATGCCTATAGGCATAAAATATTTTATATGGCGTTTTTTTATTTGAAAATTGATCAGAAAAGTAGTTTAGATTTGTTTTGCTTGTTTGATTTTTTTTTTTGCAGAATACATTTGATAAATGATTAGTCTTTCTGAATCACAACTAAATTTAATTTTGTGAGGTTTATATTTGGCGTAATTGCAATTTCTCCAAACAATGTATGACCAATGCAATGATGTATTAGGACATTTCGAGATTCTTTGTATAATATAAGACGAAAGTGTATCCGCTAAGAATGAAAGTAGCACTATCTTACATTGCTTGTCAGATTACATCTTTTATTGCCTGTCAGATTAACATACCCTGAGTGAAGTGGCGAGTATGATATTTGAATCCGAAATTGTGAATTCGCGATACTAATATGAGTTGGGTCAAACGCTCAAAACACAAGGCTAAAGCTAACACAAATGAACGGCAAAGACTGTATGAGCCTCATTTCTTCATTTTTCAAGTATCTTCATAGCAAGTATCAAAAAAGTGATTTCATTCAGTTTAGGTCATTTACTTTGAAATGGTAACAACATCACCTAGGTAAAATATCTTAAAGGTTATATAGCTTTTTTATTATTATTTCAGAACTTCTCACTATCACACTGACAAATCAAGTAATAGTAGTAGTACATGGTAATACGGCATCTATCAACATCGCGACAAGGAGCTCTGATGGAGGGGTGCAGATAAAAGTGTTCAAACTCCCGGATCGAACAAATGTAACTTTCAGCCTCAATAACTTACCCAGTTCTTTCACCTATACTACTCCCCCAATCAACGACTTACAATACGTTGAATATGAATTTGTGGTAACGCATGATGCCCCATCGAGATCTTATACCAGATCGGCAACTGTTCGACTAAATGTACACTGTAAGTTGATTTGTATTACCCAAAAATCAGATATGCAAATATTAATGTCATCAAGATTTTTATTTTTATGTTATATAATCATGATGTTGTAATGATATTATCGGCAGATGTTCCGAAAATTCTCCTTGTTCAGGCAATAAAATGCTGATTGGTAAGAAGATTTTATGATTTTAGAAGTGCCGGCCTTGGCCCTCAGCGTACCTTCTTTATTTATTTCAATATTTTAAATTCCTTTATTTTATCAGATATCGATCGTGCGCCTTATAATTGGCGCCGAAGTGGTGCTTTGTTGACTACACTTGAAACCAGTACCGGTACTACTGATTTATATAAAAAAAAAACGCCGTTTCAATATTGTCTTGCGCTAGATGCGCCTTATGCACGGACAAAACTCCAATCTGATCAAAATATTAACAGTGCGCCTTATGGTCCGTAAATTACGGTACTGTGAATAAATATAAATCATATTATTTGTTTTGTGGGATGCAAAATTAGAACATTACGCTAATGAAGACCTTTTGATTGACACCTCAACATCATATATAAAATTAGTTTGCCAGTCATGCCTTTAATACAAATAAGGATGATGTCATGATATTTACGTGAAGTGTTCCGCAAATTCTCTCCTTACAAGCAATCACTGATTGGTCATCGAGGTTTTGGGCTTATATAATCATGTTCTGATGATGAAATTTGATATTCTTAGAGCGACAGACATATATCGTACCTTCTGTATTTGTATTTATGACCAGGGTTTTTAGGTTCGAATCTTTTTCTATTATTAAATATTTCTTATTTCTCTAACAAGTGTTCTTACAGGCTTAATTATAGTGAGCCAATGTGAACTTTATGATTCATATAATATCCGTTTCACCAACGTTTCGAATGCCTAAACAAAATTTCCACACTTTGCCTATGAAGTCTGAAAATGTAGTTAACCAAATTATATGAAGCTTGCACTTCGTCAGTTATGCAGGCATTTAATGTGTAATATACTGCGCCATATTGGTTTTTATTACTGGCAATATGATTTATACGGATAATCGATATCACTGCTGGCGTAATTCACGTGTTCTTGTTATTGTTTATTACATTTAAAGCGCTACTGCCCTACCCATATTCTCCAATAAAAATAAATCCATCTTTATACACCTGAGATCGCGAAAGCATGTAAGAGAAAGTAATTACTATTGCACATTTGGTGAAATTTACTGATTATAAAAAAAAAAAAATATATTCTGTTGATCTGATACGGTTTCACGGCGCAACCTTAAAACGACATTATTAGTATTGCGCACAGATACACGTTTTTGGGACTTTCTTCCGTGTATTACCAATTGGGAATCTGTAAATGGCAGAAACAATACGGTTTAAAATAATTGTAATCTATATGAACAGTGTGAAAACCACTAAGATGAATTAATTCACAAAATCGCATCTCTAAGAAACAATAATTGTTGCCGATAATTATTTTCAGATCCTGTGAACATCACCAACATATTCCCAACGTCAATCTCTTCCCCAGTAACCACCGGCCCGAATCACGTGATCTGCGAAGCATCAGGTTCACCTTCTGCAGATGTGGTTTGGATCAGAAATGAAGTTACGGTTCCATTAAGAAGAGATAGCTCCATATATCAAGTAAAAATCACAGGAAACTCTTCACTTTATATAATGAATGCAGCATTGACTGATAGTGGAATTTACACATGTCGTGCCACTAACAATATAGGAGAACCGGCTCAGAATACCAAAGATGAACAAAAGATAGAATTAACAGGTAAAAATATCAGTTGAACTTAAATAGAAAAAGCGATATTGAGTGTCCCGAATCAGTTTTAAGTTCGAAAAACGGGGTCTGTTAATGCCCCTGAATATCTCAACAGCGCCATACTTTTTTTAGTTGTTGTGCGAACGCAATTGATAAAAATATTAAGATTATATTATAATAAAATATTTACACAATGACGTTCCTTGCACCATTTTGAACTAATGTCAGAATAAAAGGTAACAGAAAGTTAGTGAAGAATCACCACCAAGCAATATTATGACGATTATGATTGTATTTGAATACAGATTAAATTTTGTAGTCAGATTAGTGGATTTTTATCAAAAATCAAATTGCAAACAACGCTAATAAAGAGAATATTCTATAATTTTACAGTGTACGGATCCCCTGTGATACTAAATCAAAAAGTAGAAGAATGCAGTGTTGGAGGAAAGGTCATAATTGAATGGAAACCTAGCAATCAAACAGTTGGCGTCGTCCATAGGTAACAAATAAAATATAGCTGGATATCAACTTTAAGACCGAAAATTTTAATGTATACGAAAGACCTGTAATCAGGTAAAAAAAAACGAATAAAAATTGCCAGCTATTTCTGTTTGTAATGCTTCCGATTTTTTTGCTCAACCTTCCTCAATTAAATTGCAGCATACTCATTGGTGAATTAATTTCAATCTTAAATATAAAAACGATGAAACGCGTTGCTATGTTGCTATTCTGTAAAAGATCAAAAATTGTTTTCATAAGATAAAATTTGTCATAAAAATTCATCGTGTCAAACAAATTGACAATTATAAAAATTATTTTTTTAAGTTTACATATACTATACTTGTTCTCTTTACGAAGTCTGACTTTGGTAAAAAGAAATGTTGCGTTATGAATTTATAAAAGTTTATATACGTATGTCTTTAGTCTAGTAGAACCTCTATTGTTAAAAAATCATTTCCTAATTTTGAGCTTTTCATTCAGAATTTCAGCAACTCGCGAAGGTAACACTGTAGCTGATTACACGCGAACCATAACAGCACAAATACACGAAACTACAACAATTGAGAAGCTTTCTGCTGACACTAACTATGCAATCAAGGTAAAACAATTGAACGTTGTAAAATTAAACCGCTAGCAATCATAAAATCGTTGTTTACGGGAGTAAATACAAATGAATTTTAAGTAACAAAACTGCATGAGAAATGTTTCCGGAACAGCAAAGTCACGTTCAACTCAAAATTTTTTTTTAAACAACTCAACTTTTTATATAAAACGTTTCAATGTTCCAGTCCATGCTATCTACTAGTCAGACTTCTAGATTCAAGGTCAATAAAAACTTAATATCAAACACAATAAATGTTATTTTCTCTCATACCGTTTCAGATAACCGTGTGTCCAGATGAGTGCATAATCAGTCTTCATGCACAAACAGTAATCCAAACAAGAATGGGTTTGCCGAATCCAGTTACCGACGCTCGAGTTATAAAAGTATCAGAGAGTGAATGTAATCTGACCTGGGCATGGCTGAAGTCGAAGTTAAAAACGGATGCAACATTTGAGGTAATATAAAGAATAATTGAGGAATTGATGTAGTAATTTTCTTTCACAAAATAAATTTGATACCCGTAAAAAGTAACATGTGCACTAGCAACTTAGATAGGTTTGCGTTCTTTGTTCTCTCCCAAAAACAATTACAACCCAGAAAAATAGTATCGAGATAGAAAATATATAAGTACCAATCAAAATATTGAATGTTCTCAAAAGTTATTTCCAACTATTTACTAGATAATCGAGAATGCAACGCTTGTTTATCTGTCTTCAAACGTACACCAACATACATTCACCGAGGAACATTTATACGAAGGCAAATCATTAGATTCGTTTCGTGTTCGAATTGAAACTAAGCCTAATCGCAATTACACTTTCTATATTAATGCAAAAACTTGCATTGGAAGAAGCAATAGAATAACAGCAATTGGAGAATGCCTTACAAATGTGGCAGGTGAAACTTTTTCATATCAAATTACAAACTTATAAAATAGTAACACGCTGATGGTTATTAATTCTCTTTGTCTTATTGAGTTTTTTTTTTTATTATTTACAGCACCAGAAAACGTTCCTGTACCAACAGCAGTCCGGTCAGAAGTAAGAAAGGCCTCACAGTTGATAAACATCACGATTCCAGATGAAACAAGAGGACCAATAAGGTATAAATAATATCAATCGAGTATCAAGTTTTTATTAAAGTCTCACTATCTTGCTGATTTTATTTCTTCATTCTATTATCTCGAAGTCCATCGAATATATGTCACAACTTTTGAATTTAAATTGAATGAATGCTTTACAGTATCGTGTTTTTTCAAAATAGTTAAATCTGTTTTTAAGAAAAAAAAATGGAAACAATGTGGAACTTTAATCATTTGAGCATTGAATTTCTCTCTCAAAAATAACTTGTTTGACGATAGGATTTCTTAAGATTTTTTTTCTGAACTCAAATTTTTCAAAGTTGTTTTCCAAGAAAATTTTACATAAAACTTTACTGGACTGGATTAACTTTTTGTGAATATTTATTGTTTTGCAGTTGTATATTCATAATCGTGAAATCCGGTGGGAGAATTTTAGATGAAATTACAACAGAAAAGTTGACTCGGTTATCAGAAAACGCATTGGTCGGAAAATCAGAAGAAAATGAATATCTCGCATTTGCAGTGCAACGGTATGAACATATTACACGTTTCAAACAACAGCCTCAGTGCACAATGGAAACCTTGCACTAAGCCAAAAAAAATTGTTATACCGTATTGTACTAATTCCGATGAAAATTAGAACTAGACACTCATCAAAGTCCACAGGCTTACAAGGGTGTAATAAATTGGGCTATGAATTCGAAATTACTAAAGAATATTTTTAATTCTAATTCTATTAATTCTCTACCCTCGGGCAAGGTCACGTTTGTTACGATAACATAGAAATCCCAAATGCGAACATACTAATGTTCAATTCAATATTAAAGGTCAAAAATAAAAGGTACTAAGATGCAAATATCTCTTGGAGACGACACCAACAGTTTCTGCAATCTATCAACTAGTATGTCAACTAATTTAACTAGGGTCAAACGTGCAGTAACAGGATACATATCTGGAAGGAACTTGCCGCTCGAAATAGGTTCTACATACACGTAAGAGTTGCTTAACGATTATAGTTTTGATTCGTTTTGGTCTGTTTTCATTTACGCTAGTTTAATTGATTCAAGGGTCTTGTTGCACAACAACCTTGATATATTTCTGCAACATTTTGTCTAAACAAGGTCGGATCATATATGCATAAGAAAGTACCTTGGTCTGACAACACTGTACCGTCAGACTTGCTACAGCACCGGATACGGATACAGATCCACCAGCGCAAAAGCATAGAATAATAATGAGTAATTAGTCCCGCAGAAACGCAATCTATAGAATACGCTAGTTAAGTTTCGTTTTATAATCATTCAGTTAAATCACAGCGCTTTGTATTACCTTCAAATACCAGTTCGATTTCTTTTGATAAAATTTTCAATCCTGAAATATGATCTATAATATTATCCTAATATTTCACAGCTACTACGCAGTTACTTCAACTTACTCAGTGACTTCGGATAAAGTTTTTTTACAACGCAGTTCTTCTGCGGTATTCATCCTAAAGAAAACTGAAGGTATTCACTGTTTCTGTAGTTGGAATTTGATCTTCATTAAAAATTAGATGATTGTGAAACAATTGGGAAAAAACTTGGAGGAAGTTTGTTTTATACATAGTAATCTCAAATAGAAGCAATTTAATTTTATCCTGTAAAAACCACGAATAAAATGTATTTACAAATTGAGCTTAAGATTATTTCCCATATAGTAATTCAAAATATAATGACATAAATTATATTCCAGTAAAAAAATCAACTCTTACTTACACAGAGTCAAACTATGTCTGGATAGCTGGAGTTGTCGTTGGCGCATTCGTGATTGCAGTCGTTGTTGTACTGATTGTCCTATTAGTCAGGAAAAAGTAAGGATGCCTTAATCACTAAATTATACGACTTAATAGGCATGGTAATACTTAAGTTATTTATTTCGCATGCATTTTTCTGATCCTAATTGGGAATTATAAGCAAATGCACTATACCATGACATCGCTGGAATAGGAAAAAGAATAGTAAATCTCAAAATATTCTGACTGCCTAATAAAATAGTCAATATTATATTTCATGATTGTGTATGATAACTCCAGGAGGTATTACTATACAATTTTTAATTATATGTTCTCAATTGTTTTCACTAAAATTACCATGTTATTTCAAATCTTATTCAAGACGAAATGTTCGAAAAGAAGAAAATGACGATCATACTTATGAGCAACCTTCGACTAACCCTATTGGAATTCAATTGCCTCCAGTAAGAAGCCAAGGTTAGATACAATACAAACTACTTTTTCCTATTTTTTCTGTGCTTCTGCACTTTTTAAGTCGATAGTATCTTCGAAGCAAGAAATATTAGGGCAGACATAGTTCAACCAGTCGACATTATAAATTGAAAAGTATCTGAGTTTAGAAACCCTTAAGATAATAGAATCTGAATGTGCTAATACATAATTGATTTCAAAGTAATCAACACTTTTTCTCAGATTCTGGAGGTTATCTCAACGTGCATTACAAGTATGAAAACGTAGATTCAATTCCCACCAACAATACTTATGAAGAAATAAAAGTTTAATGAAAAAGGACAATGTCGTGCTAAATAAATAATTCATCTATATACGACATATACATGTAATATTTATATCTATTTGCTTGATCAATCACAAGTTGATGAAAACCTGTGCTTTTGTTTATTGAAAATAACCAATTTTGTTTAGTGATATTCAATAATATTTGTTTCGTTGCTAAGTGGTTGGTTTCTAGCAATTATGCATACAGAAAAATATCAGATTCATAAAATGAAATAAATGTGCTAGAAAATGTTCCACCAAAATACTATATATTCCTATAACACCTTTATATATTTACGTGATCAATTAAAAATTGATAGAAACCTGCGTTTTTCATTAGAAATAATTATCCTTTTTTCAGGTATTTTGAATATTATTCGTTTAGACTTTAATTGTTTATGTTTTAAGTAGCTATGCGTAAGAATAAATATCAGTTCGATGAAATATAATAGTAACATGCAAAAAATATTTACCTTAAATAGCTATAAAAGTTTTACCTATTTGCATAATCAATTACAAATTGATCAAAAATTATATTTATTGGAAATAATAATTTTTCCAAGCAATATTAAATAAAATTTATATTGATTTTATTTTTTATGTTCCCAGCAACTATGCACATGCAAAAATACTCATTTGATGAAATAGGATGATAACGCAATATGAAATATTTCACCGATATATACTGTATACAACTATGAAAAAGTCTAATTTTTATTGAAAATAAAATAATTATCATATTTCAGCTTTTAACTGTTTTTGCTTCAAGTATCTATGGTCATAGTGAAATATAAGTTTATATGCCCATATATTATATATGCCTATATAAAGTTTTACTTATTTGCTTATTCAATTGCAAATTGAACTAGCCATATTTTTTAATTGGAAGTAATCAATGTTCCTATCAACTATGTATATGATAAAATACCAACTCCATGAATAGAATATGGAATAAAATAGAAAATGTTTTATCTGTATACAATTTATACTTTATTAGGTTAAATGATACGGTTAGTATCTTAATTAATTAATATTTGTTGGAAACCTGTGTTTTTTATTGAAATTTATCAATTTTCTTGAGTTATTTCAATAATATTTGCTCTGGTTTTATTCGTTTGCCCAGTAACTATGCATGTGAAGAAATAACCTATTGATGAAAAGTAAGAGAATATTGTTTTAGGAAATATTATAGCTTTATACTACATACGCACATTAAGGTTTTATCCTTTTTCTCAATTAATTACAATTTATTCCAAACCTTTGATATTTGTGGAAGTTAAGCAACATTCTTCTGTGATACCAAATAATATTTGTTTTTGATTTTAATTGTTCATAATTGCAACTGTGAATATAAAGAAATATCTGTTTGAAGAAATAGAATAAAACACTTCTAGGGAAATATCTGTATACTATTTATGATAATAAAAGCTTTTTATTGGAAATAATCAATTTTCTTTATTGATTTTAAATATTCAATTGTTCAACATGTGCGTTGCTTAAAAAAAAGGAAATAAATGTATAAAAATAAATTTCCTATCATCTCTTATTCTATTATATGTAGTATTTCATAGCAATTTGAGCTTTTATATAAAAAAAATCATAGTCGATATGAGAGAAAGCTGATAGAGGAACACTTTAATCGTTTAATGCATAGTGGGGCAAACTTGGTACATCGCGGAAAACGTTGTACTGGCCCCCTTGGTTATGCTGTTGAGTAACGCATTTACTATTTATCAGCAACGCATTATTTCCATGGCTCAACGAACGAAGAAATATTCAGAGTTTCCTAGGTGGGTTTCAGTTTCCGTGCGGGGTCACTTATAGGTTATTTCTTGCTGATTGTAATCTTGTGTCAGCTGGGCTGAGAGACATGAAAAAAATCTGTAGTGGCGGATAATGTAGCGATGACGAGGCCTAGCTTAGCGAGTTTTACTTATTTCTTCAGCATTTTGAAGTATTTCGGTAGAAATGCGTGTGCCAAATTTTGCACATCATACATTTAGAGCAGTGGTTCTTAAACTTTTTGAGCCGCGTCCCCATTTGAAAAATTTACAAACTTCGCCCAAAATCAGAAATTTCTCTCGATATATTTTCGTGCGAAGACGATAATATTTACTTTTTTTTGTTCTCGAATGGAACTATGAACCTGTGAGGAAAACGAGTTAGTTTTTATTATATAATCATCAGCGACTAGTTGCTAAAGATAGAATAAAGAAGTAAATCCGCAACCAAAAATTTCTTGCTTGAAAAAGCAGCATTATAAAGAACTAAAAATTAAAACGGAAAACGTCTTGTTTGGGGATGGACCGCGACAAATTAAAAACACTTTCTTAGACATTGCATATCTTATAAATACTTTGTGAGTGCGGCACACCTGTAGTGTTCTAAAACTACCGACTTGAAATAAATTCACTCCGTGGGATTTCATTGCAGACTTAGGAATTTCTCGAACGGTGATATCTTAAAATTGATAGAGTGGCAGCAATGCGATAGAGCGAAGTAAGAGTTGCAGGGACAGCTCATATTGGTGTAATTTGCAAGAAAACAAATAAAAAAAATGTAATCGGGCACTTTGCTACACATTTTTATGTCCGCGGATTACCGTGGTATTTTGAAGCAGTGGTGCTCTTTTATCCATGCAATCGCAGATTTAATTTATCACAACTAAACAAATAAAGCAACCATTTTAAATATGTATATCGGTCATGAACTGAATATTTTATTCAACACAAAAACCTTTACATATCCGTTGAAAAAGTCGACTCTTTTAACGAGTGGCGTAATCTCGAGGACTGTTTCAGGAGCAGTACCGCGGGGATTTCTAGTGGATTAATATGTATCTTTCATTTACAAATATACTTTATATGCATTTTCATTGGACTAAATTAAATATACTTTCTGGTATTTTATTTACTTTTCAGTTTAAGAGCCACTGATTTAGAGATATGAACTTTTAGGTTCTGCGTCGTCTGTGTTTTTTTATTGATCTACTGGTGTGCAGGTTTATATATTTAAGTAATTGAGCATGTTTATATATGTATTTATTTTTATAATATTATTTAATTATTCAGTTATTCTATAATTCAGCCATCGAAAATTCTGGGTCCCTGGGAAATTCTGTAGTCATTGGTAATTAGTTTCAGAATTTTGATTGGTGAAATTCAGCCACATTTCACTTCTAAGCCAGTAGACTAATTCCTGAGTTGTCACCGGTAAGGTTTATTCTAGCTTTAGTAGTTCTTTTTTGTTACTCTTTTACCATTATCAAGCCTTTTTGATTGTCACGTCAGTAATGACAGGATAGTTTGAACGCAAAGAAAAAAGACTTGAATACTGAAATAGCTGAATCGGCTTAAAGAGACACTGTTTTTAGATTTAGATCTATGTACTTATTATATGTTAGATATATGTTAGTCGTGACACTATTGACCGTGATCGGTCTAAAAAACTAGTTTATGATCTGCCTAAAAGCGAAGATGAAGGTGAAGTAGATTGAAATCATGATTCGCATCATATTCAGCATATTTAGGATAGCAGCTTGAAGGGAAAATTTTCTACCATCCAGTGCAGTGGTTCCCAACCGCGGGTCCGCGAAGCTTTTTTGCAGTCCGCGAGAGATTTGATTTTATGCCGTCTCAATCGCTTTACCGAAACCGAAAAGATGAAGTTGTGTTGATTTTCTACGCAACTTCTCTACCGCCATCATATTGAATAGGTGCGCCCGGCGTCGTCTTGGCGATGTGTAATCACATTTTTCGCTTTTCCTGTTCCGATTCAGCGCGAAAGCGCTCCGTCGAATCTCGCACACACTTCAATTTTTTTCCAGCACATTATTTGTTAGTTTTTCTTTATGTGATTTGTTTTCTGTGTGCTTTTTTACATAGAAGCATAGTAAGTGACCGCCATTGCATTTATTACAAAAATAAATGTTTTTATATCATGTTCCATTCATTTCAATTTTTTGCTGGTCCGCGAGTACATTTTATTCAACTTTACCGGTCCGCCAGATTGACATGGACATGTCATGTGTCAATTCCTGACTTCTTTGCGAGGAAGTACCCTTCTGTAATCCGCTTTCAATAAGAGATTTCCGCACTGAAACCGTAACATGCCTGTGGATGGGAAACAAATTGAGTCGCCGTTGTCGCCAGAGTTTTGATAGTGATCACCCATCAACACCAGAAAGAGCTGCTAGTTGTCCTTCCACCGATGGATGCTCGTTTCGTTAAAAGGCATTGGCCTCTTGTGTCCGCCAACAGAATGCGTTGTAGACAGAGAAGATGCCATATGAAAAGTAACATAATCTGTGCAAAATGTGGTGTATAACTTTGCCTGAGACAATCTTAGAACTGGGTTCGGGAAATTCATCAATAGCATTCACATTATTTCACTTCATGGTTATTCTTCATAATTAATTTCAAATTCTGATATTCAAATTGTACTACTTTGTCAATTTTAGTAAATATTTCTGACCAAAATATTGCTAAAAATATAGTTTTGAATAACCTCAAATAATTTTGGATATTGTGTGGACATTATTAGGCTAGACAAAATATCCAAAAGCGGTTACTAAAAGTCACATTTGTTTATATTCATATGTACTTTTACCTTTTGCCTGATATTGATGTTTAAAAAAATTGTTTTACAATACAAGCATTCTAGAGATATTGTGCCCTTTTCCATGAATGCATTGTGGATTGTATCATGCATAAGAAATTTATCCCTCCCCATAGGAGTAGTTAGCGCAAAAGGGGAATAAAGTAAGGTCATTTTCTTGATATTCATACCTCATTCTATCACTAACAATTTTCTCATCAGAATTCACGACATCATTCATTGAAGGGTCTAAACTCTAAACAACATTTTTCCGTTTTCCAACTTTGAGCCTAACCTGGGGCAGAATATTTGTTTTAATTCAGTTATGTACGTAGCCGGGCTTAGAAAAATTGGTTGTTAAAAATCGTATCAACCACAAATAAAATACAGGAAGTTGCAGACGAGCAACGAGTTTTTTATTTTCTCTCTGAAGTCGGTTTTTAGTGTTAGTAACAATCTAGGAACACAATTCTAAAAATATTGCATATTAAATCAGAGTAATAAGTGAAATATGAATAAAACCTTAGAATACTCGCTTATTCACTCATCCATGCAATTGTTAACCGATTTTCACATAAATCCCGAGATCATATGAGATGGAGAAATTTCATCGTGGTGTGGGCATAGGCGCATTCAAGAATTACTTTTTTTTTTAATTAAATCCCTTGAAAATGATAAATTGAATAATTTATAATATTCTCTTGCGATATCAATTGAGTACATGCATTCTATACGCGAGATGTCGCTATTCATATGATTTTAGTACGAATTCGCAAGTGTTTAGAGAAAGTAATGCCTTTTGAATACAAGCATCCATTATTTTCATTTTGGACTGAAATGAATAAATGCAATATATGCGACCTTTCGTGCCTATGTTTCGTATCTGTATATTTCAGGGGTCACCAACGCGTTGCCCGCGGGCACCAAGTCGCCCGCGAAGACCATATGAGTCTGTTCCAAACTAAGTCTAATAACGGCTCTTATAAGTAAGCTACATCAATTAAATTTTGTCCTGCTATATTAGTATAAATCACACTTATATGGGAACTAGAAATTATTGTTACCATCAACCTTATTTTTATTTGACCTCAGTAATGTGACGGGTCAATTAACACTCTTCCAATTATGACATCACACTGAGATCACTTTCCACGAACCCGAGCTTTTTCTTGTCCGTTGGTTAGCGGAGCAGTAATAATACAATT